TGGTACTTGCTCCCTTCCTATTCTCCACCCTTTTACTAAGTTCCTCGCATCAGCTCTATGAATCAGTCTGCCCAAAACATCTACAACCAGAGTGAATAGGAAGGGGAGAGTGGGTCTCCTTGTCTTATTCCCCTTGAGGCAGGAAAGAAATTCCTCATAGCTCCACTCACCAAGATTGAACAGTGGCAGCTCTTAATACAACCCCAAATCCATTTACACCATCTGTTTCCAAACCCAAAACTCCTCATCACCTCCACCAGGAAAGACCAATCAACTAGGTCATAGGCCTTCTCTAAATCTAGTTTGCAGACCACACCTTTCTTCTTGGACTTCTTGAAACTTTCCAAACTCTCATTTGCAATCAAGATTTGATCAATGATCTACCTCCCCTTCACAAACAGTCCTTGATTGGGTGCAATAATAGAAGGAAGAACTTTCTTTATTCTTAGAGACAGCACTTTTGCAATTATCTTATACAGACTATGCACCAAACTGATAGGTCTAAAATCGATAGGGTGTGAAGCCTCTTTCTTCTACGGGATCAAAGCAATAAAAGTGGAGTTTAAGCCTCGATTGATTATTCCCCTCCTATGAAATTCCTCAAGGACCCGCATAATATCCTGCTTCACAACATCCCAGCAATCCTGATAAAAAACCATTGTGAATCCATCTGGGCCTAGAGCTTTTGTCCCATCCATCATAAACACTGCTTCCTTGATCTCCTCTATATCAAAAACCTTCTCTAACCCCTCCCTATCCACTACACTTAGAGTAGGCCAATCCAGCCCTTCCAGCCAAACCCTCACATTTACCGGCCTTCTGAAAATAGATTTAAAATGATTTACAAAGGCTTCTGCTATTTCTACTTGGTGGGAAATTACTTCACCTTCGACTTCCAATTTTGAAATGAAGTTCTTCCTTCTGCTATTTGCCAAAGAATGGAAAAACCTCGTGTTTCTGTCTCCCTCCTTTAACCATTTGCACCTAGATTTTTGTCTCCAACTTATTTCCTCCTAGAGCAAAAGGTCTTCCATCTGCCTCCTCACACTCCACCTCAACTCTTTGTCTTCCTCTCCAAAGGGACCCCTTACTTCCTTCAAATCCAAGTCCTCTAATTGTTCCAGCAAAGTCTGCTTTCTCTCCCCCAAACTTCCAAACTCCAGCCGGTTCCACTCCTTTATCTTGGATTTTAGAAATTAAAGCTTCTTGTGGAATTTCATACCCTCCCACTCTACTAATAGATTACATTGCTCCCACCAGTCTTTGATTTTCTCAATGAACCCCGGATGAGCCAGCCACATGTTCTCAAACCTAAAGGGGGTAGGTCCATCTCCTCTTAATTCCTCCTTACACATCACTATGGGCCAGTGGTCTGAGGTAAGTCTAGGGAGTGCCCTAGAAGTTAGATTCCTCTAATGCTCTTCACAATCTGTTGAAAACAGAAATCTATCTAGCTTGGAGCAAAACGGCCTAGATTGTAGGTTGGACCAGGTGAAATTGTGATTTAGAAGAGGGATTTCTTTAAGCTCAAAGGTGTCCACAAACTAATTGAAATTCCTCATACTTGTAGTCACACTCTGACTCGGATTATTAGTTTCCTCTTTGAACCTCACCACATTAAAATCCCCTCCCACGCACCAGGGTCCTTCCCAGAGTTTCTTTCCACAGTTTCTTTCTCTGTCTGTAGTCGTTGGGGTCATATACATTTGTTAAGACCCAATCAAAACCATCTGCCACCTACCTGAATTTCACAGATACTGAGTGATCTCCTATTAATTCCTCGACCCCTACAACCACATCCTCTTTCCACAAAGTTACAATCCCACCTGAAGCTCCCCATGATAGAGCAGTCGCCCACCTTATCCCCCTTGATCTCCACACACCTCTTGCCCATCTACTATTGAAATCAGATCTCTTAGATTCTTGAATTAACACCACATCCGGGTCAAACTTCTTAATCACCTCTTTGATAGTTGCTCTCTTTTAATATCTTTGTGCTCTCCACTCCTAGCCATCTCCTCAACTCTGCCCTCAGCCTCCCCACTATAATCCGATTCTGTCCCACTTGTAGCCTTCCTCCATAATTCATTTATTTCAACTGCTTCCATTATACTGTCAATGATTCCCCAAATTCTTTTATCCTTGCAAGTTCCCTCCACCCTCATCTCCCCTTCCAACAACCCCCTGAAAACTTCTTGTGGTCTTCTGACTATGGGCTTCAGACTCTGAACTGGGGAGGGAATCTGGAACAAGGGACACGGCAACCTCATCAGTAGAAAAAAATGAATTTACAGAGTTGACAGATTTACCTGAAACTGACCAAGAGTTTAGAGGGGAATGCAAGGGAGGACAGGTGGAAGCCAAACCCAGTAAAGAGAAATTCGAGTTTTCTGTCTCCTCGTTTTGGAGGGAAACATTCCCCGTCATTTGGTTTACACAGGCTGCTTCTCTTACCCGACTGTTTACCTCTCAGAGGTGTATCCCCGTTCAGTTTTGGGTTAACACGATCTGCCACCATCTCGGTTTCTTGCCTGGCCCCAAGACTTGGTGAAGGCTTATCCCCTTGTGGGCATTGGAATTGCCCCCCGTCGGTTTGGCCTGCATTGTTGGCTAACACTGACTTTTCCTTCCGATCTACCCCAGACTCCACTTGTGCGCACTCCCAATCCCCAAGAAAGAGACCCATCAGATTTAGAGTCTCCCTGTTTTGATCTCCTTGGAGTTCATCGTCTTCCAAACTCCCTTTGCTTGAAATTTCTTCTGAACTCTCCTCCTCATCTTCACTTTCGGAACTACACTTTAACCAACCCTTATCATCCTCCTCCCTTTCTTCCGTTCTGTCCCTCAGGCATCGCGGATTTGGGCGATCTACTGCAAGAGAGAGTTGTTCGTCGACATCCCGCCGAAAGACCCAGCTCAGAGACTTAGTTCCAGCTTCTGTTCGCCGCCCCTGAACCTGGTTCGTTTCAAACACACCTGATTTGGAAGATGATAGACGGTAAGTCTTGTCTACCATCTCCCTCTCCTTAACCCGACCCACGTGACACCTTAAACTGTCACGTGGCTCACTTAAAGTC